AGTCTGTTCAGGCAGTCTGCTACTGACTATGAAATAGATTTTTTAAAGTCACTGACTTAAACACACTTTGTTATGAACAGTAAAAAAAGAACATTTTCAGGATTCGTGACATTTACTGAAGACCCCATCCAGTCCTCTGAGTGTAGGCATAGTGTTGGAACAACACTGCCACCATGAGGTCAAAATGAAACATAGCTGCAGTAGGTCTGATTAAAAAGGAGCTTCTATTTGAATATTAAAAGTCATTGTCCATCTAGTTCATTTCTGAGTATACTTCTCATTGTTTCAGTGGCTGTTTAGGGAAAACACGTCACTGTTTTAGTGTTTGTATATATTGTAAGCAAGACTTGCATAGACTCCACGCTGGGGTGGAAGAGAGGCATGTTTGTGTCTACTTATATTGCCTTTTAGAAAACAGAGCCAGTTTATTAACCAACCGACACAATGCAGTCTATCAGTTTATATCTGCTTCATCAGTATCATGTTTGTCTGACAACATTAAAAGCTTCAAAACAAAATCCACAGAGGTCAGAATCACTGGATTATCCAGAAAAACAAAACAAAACATGCAGTTAGTTTATTGCCTAAGACAGGATTTTACAAACCTACAGAAGTAGTGAATGTGGGACAGTTGTAAACATCACAGTCTGGCAAATGCTCGCTGCTCTCACACTGTGACTGTCACTACTGATTCGATGGCGCAAACAGGATAACAGATGGCTGTAGCTTCAAGCTTTGGTAAGGGAAGCCTTACGCCTGCTTTATTTTTAATGACCAGCGGTGGGCGATTCACAGTTTCATATAAGTCTTTGTTTGTGATTTGTGACAATGCAAATGAAAACATAAAGTTCATCTTCCACATTGTGATATTCTATATGAGGATTAAGGAGGAATGCTTTTAAATATCATATAACAATTTCCTTGGTAGAAAACTGTGCAGACTGTCATGAATGTGCATTATGTAAATGCTTTTTTAAACACACAAAACCTTCACCAAAGTCTTTGTTTCATACTTTACAGCATGGTTGCTGAGGCAACAGTAAAATTAGACTGCGATGGAAAGGAGAAGTTTGAAATGACATTTGCCTTCACATTTGATATTCAAACTAGCCTTATCGAGTACAGGATCAGGTGATGGTTTAATGGAGTGGCCGTGTCACGCAATGTGGAAACACACTTCTGCAAACACATCCTGTTCATTTCTGTTTCCTCTCTGAAAATTAAAACCATCATTACCATTCTGCATCTTTTTATTGCAAAACCACAGTTATGTGCTTGCTCTTACTATTTAGAGTTAGAGAAACAGCCATGCTATATTTTGAATCATCCTTCATCAAATCAGTGAGCTTAATCTTATATCTATGACCAGGGGATTAGATTTACAAAAAGGAATTGTTGAGATAATGGGTAGAGAAATGCTACCTATACAACCGAGATTTAAGCAGTATTTTATGAGAAAAGTGACTTACAGTAAATGAGATGGGAGAAAATTAAAGTGGTTTTAGCAGTTCCACATTATTGAGTGCCAGTGAAGTTCTGGTTTTAGTGATTTTTCTTAAATAAGACTAAATGAGACCCACAAATGATGGAGTTCTGTGCCAGATGGCCTCCACAGTCACCTGATCTACATGTAAACAAAATGGTTTGGGATGAGATGGACCCCAGAGTGAAGATAAAGGGCCAACAAGTGCTCAGCATCTCTAGGAAAGCATCTCTTTCAGGTGATTATATCATGAAGCTCATCAAGAGAATGCCAAGAGTGGGCGAAGCAGTAATCAAAGCAAAGGGTGGCTATTTTGAAGAATCTAAAATATGAAATATGTTTTGAATTCTTTCACACTTTTTTGTTTTACTACATGATTCCATATTTGTTTAATCACAGTTTTGATGCCTTCAATGAGAATCTACAATGTAAATAGTCATAAAAATAAAGTAGAATCGTGAAACGAGAAGCTGATTCAAACTTTTGACTGGTGGTGCATGAGTCGGAAAATCCTTCATTTCCTTGCACATAGAGGTTTGTATTTTCTTCACTTCTCTTCAGCTTCTGCACTCTCTTCTAATTTCACTGATTCAATGGGAAGGATTTCTAACATCTATTTTGAGGGGCCATATTATCAAGAGGTGGTCATGACATGGACAAATAAGAGAAATGGCTGGAAATTTAGCTGCTAAGTTAAGTTTAGGCTAAGAGTAAAAACAAGGTATCCCAGCTGTCACCAGAAGAACAATTAACATGTTGCCCTAAATGATTTTAATTATGATTGCGAAATTTGTTGGCAGTATAATTAGAAGAAAGATCAAAGTCACCTACAAACTGAACAAACCAAACTTGTTAAGTTCAATAAAAAGGAATAAAAGTTGATTTGAGATCTCATGTTTCAATTCAGGAAGGGATTCTGAAACCAACTATTCCCCACCTCGACCTGCCCGGGTTAACCAAGCACACCATTGTTTTTCTTGTGACATTACCAATAAGTTTGATGTGTCACATGGCCCTCTTCCTATTGAAAAAAAAAAGTTGCATCCAAGATGGCCGACTTCTAAATGGCCACCATGGTCACCACCCATCTTGAGGAGTTTCCCCCCTCACATATACTAATGTGCCATAAACAGGACTTTAATATCACCAAGCATTCCCATGTTATTACGGTGTATCCATATAAATGGCCCACCCTGTAAAATAAAACCAAATGTGAAAATCATCTAATTGTTGTGTGTCTGTTTTATTTTCAGCAGTGTTTTGACTTGATTTCTTCCCTGTAATGTGAAAAAGTTATTTTATTTAAGGCCACTGTGTGATCAGAATAAAGCTGGAAGTATAATATTTTCAATAAAGCGGACAAAGAGACGTTTTACAAACCCAGAGCAGAGGTGACTCAGTAGGGTTAAAATTAGGCTAAAACTAATATTTAGTTACAGAGCTGGGGTGAAAACTGGACATGCTTTTATATAACAGAACAGGCTTTAATTAAGTGTCTGAATGTCGAGGCAGCAGTACTATTTACCAGAACCATAACTGAGCCATAAGGAACTAAATTAGGCCCAGATTAGTCAAAGATATGACAAAGACTCGTCTGTGGCTCAGAAGGTTGAACAGAAAGTGTGAGTCATAAACAAACGAGTTTAAGCTTCACAAATGTTATTTGTTGGCTTGTCCAACTTATGAAGCGCCTTGAGGCAACTTTTGTTGTGATTTGGCGCTATATAAATAAAATTGAATTGAATTGAATTGAATTGAAAATGAAACTTATTGGGTCTAAAATGGCCACTCAGATTGTGAGGAAGCAGAGAAAAACAAAATGGAGGTTTGAAGCTGTTTTGTAGTCACAGAAAAAGATGAACAGTAGTTCATTCTCTTCTATTTCAGGGAAGGCCCTGTTTGTATTTGAGCAGGACAAGTGCCCCTCCGACAGCCAAACCTATCTGTTCTCTGATTGGATTGTTACATTTGTGATTGACATGACATTGACCAATCAGATGAAAGGAAGAAAAATGGGGTCAAAATCCGTACTTGTAACTTGCAGGGTTTTTTTGGCTAAGTCCACACACAAATCTTTTTTACGCACACACAAATCTTTTTTACACATACAATTTGTTTTACACATACAAATCTTTTTTTACAAGTACAAAATATTTATGACCACATTTTGAGCCCATAGAAACACAACCTCCAGCAGCTCTGCGCTCAGAAAACAAATTACATTTATATATTTTGTGCACAATATTGCACCAACATTACACCCCACGTTAAACTGTGATTATCACCAGGTAATGTGGGCTTGATTTCTGAATTAGCAGCAGGTGTTAAACAACTGACAGGTGAACAGGATGTATGCAGGTAAACTGAGGGTCGTCGAGCTGATCGCCGGTGTCATGAGGAAATTGTCAGCTTGTTATTTATGTTACAGAAACAATGCAGTCTTTAAGTCTGATGTCATTAGTGTCAAATGTGTCAAAATTTTTTTATTAAATACATAGTTAAATGTGTAATTAATTTAATTAATTTAATTTAATCAAATTATAATTAATGAAACATTAAACATGTAATTAATTATTTGGCATATTTAATTCATTCATTTTGTCACTCCTGGCCCTCCATAATGGTGCTTATTACTGTATATATACAGTATTAAGTCAAGAAACATCATATACACACTGTGTGCTCCTCCTATTGAAATATATTGCTCACAAATTCATGCAGATGATTAGATTTTCTTGAGTTCTTGAGCTGACTGGGTTGATTTTTCCAGACTTGCAGGTCAGATTGAATGTAGAGCTGGCATTAAATAGTTAGGCACTGCCCACAAAGTAAAAACTGCCAAACCAAATGTTATTTCTGTAGAAATTATTATTTATTTATTTATTTTTTTTAAATCCTCTCCTGTCTGGAAGCTTTTGGAATCAGAATTGGGATCTGAATGCACTCTGGTTCCGAAAACATTTTACTTTTGCAAGAGCAGCTATATAGTCTAGGTTCCCCTTGTTTATTTATTCATTTCTATGTGTTGTTTCAGTTATTACATTATGAGTGTGAGAATGAAGGCTGTGATATGAGATATGAGTATGACAAGACATCATCCAGTGTCAGGCCACCCAGACTCTTGGACTCCTTCATCTTTGTTGTGGCCTTCTGGAGGTGATCCTGACTAATTGGACGGATGCAGTCATCTGAAAGGCTGAGAGAAAGAAATCAAACATTGAGCAAACAACAAGTGAACTTCTGAACTCTTTAAGAGCAGCTCTGCATCACTCAGTTCAATCATAAAAGTGCCTGCACACTGAAATAGTGACAGGTGTGTCAGATTTACAAAAAAGCAAACAGGAAAAGAAATACTTTCAACAGACTGGCATGTGTGTTGGATTTGTCCTAATTAACATGAAAAAGTGAACAAATATCATCAGTTCTGAATACTTATTTTATTATTAATTATAATACTTATTTTTCAAAATATTGACTTTGATCAATATGCACATTTTAAAACATGAAACACTCTGACCTGGAAACACCAGACACCTCCGTGTGAGAATCCATGATTTCTCGGACACACAGCAGTGCTGCCTCACGACAAATCTCTTTGAGGTCACTTCCTGAGAACCCCTCAGTTTCCCTGGCGATGTGGCTGAGGTTAATCAGTGGATCCACCTACAAAAGCAGAAAGAATCAACTCCAAAACTCTGATCAAGTGGTGTGAGCTTGAATTGATTGTCAAAAGAGTGTCCTGTATTTGAGATAGCTGTGCAAAAGTGTAGCAGAAGAATCGCAAGAACTGATCTATTTCATTTGCCTCCTCCACTCAGCTTACATTCCCTTTTCCTTGATTACTATTTATTTTTTAGTTTTCTTTCCTTACTTGTTCCTCGCCTTTTTCATAGCTGTCACTTTTCCTTCCTTCCTCTCTTCATTTCCTCCCACAACACCAGACCCGCACTGAAGTCTAATGTCGTTCAGTCCCATGTAATGTGGAAAATCCAAGTTCATGTTAATCTCGAACATTAAAAATCTCGAACAGCAATGAGTTGTTAGCTGTGTCTCCTAAGATTAAAACCATTCATGGAACTGAAATTGAACTGGTCATGTAACCCCTACAGACATGGTTACTAGTTTTTTTCTTTTCTTTCACCTTATAATTTTCTGACACTCTTTGAACACACTGTGATTTTCCGTAGTCCAGTGCAACATAAGCACGCTGCTGCATTAAGCTAGACATGGCAGCACAAGACACCGAGAGCAATCAACAAGCTACACAGTGAGTCTTCCGATATAAAACAAGCGTTAAAATGTACTTTTAACAATCTGTAACTTAAAGTTATGTACTTTTCAGAACCTCTTATGTGTTTTGCTCTTGACCAAAACAAGTGTGTTTGTTCTTGGAAAGCTGGGAAACCTATTCTAAGTTTACATGTGGTAACTACTGCAACAGCGTGGACTCTGTATTGTCTAAAAAAAAAAAAAAAAAAAAAAGGTAAAACCAGTTGGAGTACTTGAACTGTGTGTGAAACTCAGTGTTATTTTTATTTTATTGTTCATTTGATTAAGCACTTTCACAAATGCACCAAAATAATGCAAAATGCACTTTTCTCTTAGTTGTACATGTTATTCACTGCCTTTTCTGCACTTTGTCATTTCAGTATGAGTTAATTCATGTAAATAAGTTGTTTAAAACTAATTAAGTAACAAACATTTCATGATTTGATTACACATGTCTTAAAGAGGACTGTATAAATATATTTGATTGCAATGCTGTAAAGCAATACAAATTGAATTCATAGAAACTTAAACAATGTTAAAACAACAGTGTACTTGATTTTGAAAACTTTATGAGATCTCATTTTATTTAGAAACAACTGTAAGAACTATTTTGCTTATTACTCTGTACTGTATGTGCAGACTGTTTTTTGTAATCCTGGGTCTGATCCTGAAGTTGGTTCTGGATACTGATGGCGAGCCAGATCCTGTTAAAACTCTTGGCAATTCAAAAGCAGTCTGGCCAGCTGTTCTGGATGCAAGAGTAGATCTACAGACTGAACCACTTCAATTTGCAGGATTTCAGATAAACAAGAACAAACCATTAACTCCATATGGATTGCCCCTCTGAAAAACTAATGAACTCACAATATCCTGTTCATCAGGAGTCAGGTTTGAAGAGACTACTCATTTTATTTTGCTTTTATTTTCAAAAGAGCGCTCTACCCTGTTCATTTTCTGTTGTTTACACAGGTTTATTGCACCATTGTAATATTGTAATATTGTAATAAACCTGCCGGCTGTTAAACATTCAGTTCTCTCAAATTTATTTTGCTCCTCTCGGATCTAGTCTATAAGCCTAACCTTACTATACTAAGCAGGTGTTACACTCACATCTTACAAGTATCATTATAGATTATTAGTATTATTAGTATTTGTCATTTAAAACTTATGTTATGTCTAAGTTGAAACTAAAGCTAAGTTACTTTTTAGAAATCCATCCTGTTGCTCCCTCCAAGTGAGAAAACACTTGATTCTTTTTTTTTTTTTTAACCATTATTGGATTATGGTGACCTGTGTTTTATGAATGCACCTGCCTACTACCTAAAGAGGTTGGATACTGTCTACCATTGCGCTTTATGTTTTATTACTGGCTATAGAAATCATGTACTTCATTGTCCTTTGTAGGCTGCTGATAAATGTTGTATATTTACAGACTTTCCTATTGGTTGGTCTATAAATCTTGTTACGTTCCCCTAAAAGGGTCCAGGCGGTGAGGGGGAAGTAACAATAAGTGTCCGGGTCAGAAAAAGGAGTCAAGGAGGCAAAAGGGTTAAATTAAGGAGTTTTATTAAAATAGCTCAACTAAAAGAGAC